ATACTGTAGTGCTCACCTGTAGCTAAGGGAGACAACCAGCTATTGTTCTAAAATGATGGATAAATTTGTTCTCTCTCCCTATTTAGAAGCCTTTGAGAGGGAACTGACACTGATCCTAACCACTCCAACAGCTATTAAAGTACCTGAAAGCAAATCCTGAATACATAACTCCAGCCTTGGAAGACATTAAAAAAAAAAAAAATGAGGAGGAGCCCAGTAGAGGGATGCTTTTAGAAGCCCTTGTCAAGAAATTCCAATGGACTCTCATATGAACATTTGAAAATTGCCCTGCTCTGACTTTTTTCTAGTTCCCTGTCTAGAACTTCCAATGCTAATTACTCTTGCCTTTACTTCTCCTTCACATCTCCTAGTCACCAGTCAAGGACTTTCTTTTCTCCTGACAGATAAGAGTTATGCAATTTGGGAACCTTTTAGATAGACCCACTGAAGGTGTACCCCAATTGCCTCACCCTGCATCCCTGTTCAGCACGGAAGAAGCCAAAGCCATCTGCATCCAGATTCACTATCTGCAAGTTGGGTAACCTCTTCAGAGGATGGTATGATAAGAACAGGAGGTAGGAATTGCCTAGGCAGTTAGTGTAAAAAGACCCCAATGAAAAGTAGCCAGTTTCCTGGCTAAAAGTCAAAATGTCCTTGGGCCTCTTAGCAACATACTCCATTCCAAAGGCCAAACATGTCAAAAGTATAAAAGATGTTAGGGTTACCTCTTCAGAGGGGGGAATGTTGGAGTAGCCAAAGCCCCATAAAAATAAATATCAAAGGAGAAGAAAGAGTACATGAAGTTATCAGAAAAAAAGTGATGGGGAGATATGGGAGGAGTTGGAGGGGAGGGAGTGGGCGTGGATTTGATCAAAACACCTTATGTGCATCTATGAAATTCTCAATAAATTATTTATGTTAAAAAAAGAAAAAGAAAAGCATCAACATGAGAGTCCAAAAGGAAATGGAGTGATTGCTGGATATTCAGAGATGGTGCAGACCAGGGGCTGATCCTAATCCAGGGATGGTGAAAAGTGGAGCATTGTCAGGGACTTTGTGGTAAGGTGGAAAGGACCATCTGTACCTCTAGACCTTGAGAGCTAAAACTCTTTACCTTGAGAGTGAGCTAAAATGTAATGACTCATCATAGCTTACTCCTCTGGGAAATCCACAATCCCACAGGAATCATGAGCTGAAAGGGTGTTTGAAGCTCTGTATTTATGTTTGAGACATTAAAATGGGAGGTAGAGAAATCAATTAAAAAGTGTATTGAAAGACAATTTTCCTACTGGAAAAAGAACAATAAAATTTTTGTGAAAAGCAAAAAAAAAAAAAAAAAACCCAGAATTTTTTTGTCTCTAGACAAAAGTCTCTAGACTTTGGTTTAGATGCACAGAAGTTGGGCATGAGGCAGAAATTTGTACAGACGTCAAATGCAATGCCCTAGTATGCTGGACAGCTTTAGAGTCAACTTGACACACTGGGTAGAGGGAGCCTCAATTAGGGAATTGTCTCCATTGGTCTGGCCTGTGGCCATGTCTGTGGGGCACCTTCTTGATTGATGAGTGATATGGGAGGGCCCAGCCCACTGTGAGTGGTGCCACCCCTGGGCAGGTGGGCCTGTGTTGCATAAGAAAGCAGGCTGAGCAGGGGCCAGGGGAGCAAGGCAGTAAGCAGCATTCCTCCATGGCCTGTGCTCCAGCTCCTGCCTCCAGGTTCCTGCCCTGAGTTCCTACCTTGGGTCCCTGATGAACAGTGACCCAAGCAGGAGATGTAAGATAAATAAGCCCTTTCCTCCCCAAGTTGGTAGTGGTCAGAATGTTTTGTCACAGCAATGAAGAAACAAACTAGGACACCTAGGATCAGGAGTTTGCAAGTGCAAGCCTAGGCTTGCTCCTAGAAGCAGAGTAGACGTTTCCGCAAAGTGATTTCTACATTCATTAAGAGTGAGTTATTTGCTACCTCTAGGACAGAGGTAAGAAATAGCAGGATAACATCCTTTCTGAACCAAGAATCTGAACAGATTGGTCCGGTCTTCTAACCCAAAAGTTGCCTACTATTAAGACCTGGAGCTCCCCGCAACCCAAACCTAAGGACTGAAAAGAATGATTATGAACTCACGGGTGGTAGACCAAGAGGAGTTAGCAAACTGACACAGTCCCCAGTGAGGTCCCTTAGAAGCCTCTATGGGGATATTTCTCAGTGCTCTTTTAGCATTTGGTGTGGAAGAGATGGTGCAGTTGAGGCTCCCTGGAAGACCTGTGTCCCACCACTCACAGGGGTGGGTCGGCACGGGCGTCTTGAGCACTGTTATTCAAGAGACAGACCAGAACCTGGGACAGAGGAGGGCCCTGAAGAGAGGAAAATGCTTTCCTGATGGCTCCAGCAGCCGCCTAGGGTCAGACAGACACACATTCACAGCCCACTCTGGTCTAGGTCCTTTGCCAAGGTCGGAAGAGAGCTGTTAGATCTGGCTGGGGGCGGGGGGATGCCCCAGGGCACGATGTGTGCCTTTTCTGAACCCTCTCCAGAAAGGACCATGTGTGCCTTTTCTGAACCCTCTCCAGAAAGCACCACCGACACTGGTCTGGCATTCTGATCACTGGCAAGTGCCCCTCGTGTGGCTGCATTATTGTCTGGCTCAGGGAATGCCTTCAGGACATCTCTTGCCCCAGCCATGCTCTTTGTAGAAGCCTGAAGAATAAGCTAGGAGCCACAATATTCTAGAACAAATAACCAAAGCTTTTCATTGATGTCTATCTCAAGCCTCTGCTCTTTCCCTTCCCTTAATAATCTTGGCGGGAATCACCAAGTGTAAGATGATGGGGTGGCACCTGTCACCTCCTGGCCTCCTTCCTAAACGCCCCCAGAGCCCATGCCCACAATCACAGCCCCTGCCCTGGTGAGGACCCACAGTCCACACAATGGAGCCTGCTTTGTTTCCCAGTCCTGACAGTAGATCTACTCAGAAAACACTCTCCCAACATGTGTCTGATCTTGGGATGGGGGGTTGCTACTGGAGTTGTGATAAATGGCAATTCATAGTAGACACAGTCCACTCAGAAAGCAGGCATCAGGTACACCCAAACACAACTGTTAATGCTTAAATTCTAGGTTTGTCACCCCACATGCTGGACATGGTGGACACTCTTTGTGAAGAAGGCAGCACTGGACTGAGGAGCCCAGACAGCACAGCAGAGGCGGAGGCTTCAGGGCGCCCCAGCTCCTCAGCACCCTCTCACTTCAGTTAACATCCCTGCACTCCAAACCACCTGATTCCGGCTTTACTGACCAAACTGGCCATCTGCAGCTTTAAGAAAGCAGATTTAGAATATTAAACCCAAATCAGGGTTACACCAAGCATTCTGCCACTAGATGAATAAAACGTCCCCCAACCCCGGCACAGTTCTACCCACTACTGGAGAGGAACGACGGGAATGGTATCTGCAAACACCACCGTGTTCAGGTTACTATGGCAACTGCACCCAGCAACTTTTTAATCGACTCATTTTATGACCTTCCCTTGCACCAGGTGGACATCCTACAATGTTTATCACATGTCTGCTTAAATCCTGTCATCCACATTCGCTGATGATTCATTATTTAAACTTGTAAATCATTTAACTTCATTTTACTTCTTTGTGGCACTTAGGACTAAGTAGGTACACGAAACCTATTACCTCCTGTTCTAGAACTGATCTAGCTACAACATTAAAGTTCATAACAGACCAAAATGCTGTCTCTGGAAGACAGTCTTTCTGGCCAAATAGAACAGCAGGAACTCTTCCGAAAAGGAGGGGCTCACACAGTAACTGCACCCCTGAGTTTTGCATATTGCCTTTATTTTGCAGAAAACACCTTCTGCCAGTTGTCTTTGGTTACTTTGGATTAAGTATCACATGGTTGATTTCACAATATGAAAAGCTACACATGTTCAAAGTAGACACCTTCTAGGGGGCAGAGCCCTTTCCAGTTTAGTTACAATCGACTGCTCCATGATTTTTCTGTCCTCAACTTTAGCTACTCAAAAGCACAAGGAAGGGAATTAAAAGTGAGCCTTGTGGCTCACTAAAGTCGGACCAGGGGAACGGACAAATTCCAGTGTGTCAAAGTCATAAGCTGTAGGAAAAACACACACAAGGTTTAGGATGCTAGCAAAGGATTCTGACTGAATCATGGGAATTGGGCTACAGCCTCATCTCTGGGCGTGGCTTCCCTGAGTTAACAAGTCTTATTTCTTTCTCTTCACCCAAGAGCCTGCCATGTTGTACCTACTGGATGGATGTGATCAACACTGTTTGCCACAACAAGTCTTTGCACGTATAAGACAAAGGTTTAATTCACATAGATGGAGGTGACACAGGTGTCCATGAGGCGATGAGGCGGCCTTGGGCCGAGGCGTCATACTGGCTGTCAGGAATGTCTGTGACTGTGGCAGCTCCTTCGTACAGTGGGGAAGCAGAGGTCGTGGCAGCGTGGGTCAGGGGTGCGTAGTGTGCTGGGGAGCCTCGAAAGAACTGGGCTCCCAGCCCGTTGGACACTCCGGCTGTCTGGGAGCCTGGAGAGATTGTGCCATTGCTCACAGACCACAGGCTAGGGTACTGGCTGAAATGAAGAACAGAGGTCAGGAACACGGGAGGAGGCTGGAGTGAGCTATACAGGGAGGGGGTGGAAAGGAGAGACCAGTGTCCAGAAAACTACTGGTAGTAACTGCTTTATATATAAGCTTTTCAAAAAGGTAAGTCTTTCCAAATTACTACCGCACTGTGCTGTGTATAGAAACTACTATCATAGCTATGAACAAGAGACAAAATCAGTAGGATTCAAACTGAAAGGAAGGTGTGCTTGGGCGTGCTGTTAAGTTCTGCTGCCGGTGGCTCTAGGCCAGGAGTCACTTTGTGCTCCTTCAACAATACAGGACCCACACTGAGCACCAAGGCTCAGGATGCGCTGAAATATGCCAACTCCGTGTGCCCAGGCCCACTGCAGCAATTCCCACTTCCCATGAAGGCATTCCTCAGGATGATTTCAGTGTTAGCGTGGACATGAGGCAGTGCTAGAGACCCCAGAGCTGGACGTGGGACCAGGTCAGTCCTAGCTCTGCCCCTCGTTAACTATGTCCCACTAAACTTGCCTCAGGACAGCTTTTCAGGCTATGTCTTAATCTATAAAATGAGGGTGCTGAACCAAATATTAAACCCTCTGGACTGCCAGGTGTGGTGGTGCATGCCTTTAATGCCAGCAACTCAGGAGGCAGAAGGTGGATCTGTGACTTCAAGGCCAGCCTGATCGACATAGCCAGTTCCAGGCCAGCCTGGGCTACATAGTGAGACCCTATCTCAAAAAAACAAAACAAAAAATCCTCTGGATTAAGTCCATAGACGTGAACTTCGTTAAACTATACTAAAATGTTTCGGGAAGACTTCCTCAGAGCTCTATAAGCAAACGAGCTTGTGTGAGACTACTGTATTGTTTAACATGTCATCGTCCATACTTCAAATACACTTGAACTTGTAAGCAAGCCTGGGTTAATGAAGGCAGATTACTATCCCACTTTACAGTTACCAGCATCAGGGCGAGATGCCGAATTAGAGCCACACAGACACCACAGGTGACTCCTGGTCAGCACTTTGCCACCTACAATTTCTTGGGCAATTTTCTCAGGCCTTTTCCAAGTTTGTGGTCAAGTGTGTTTGCTTTCTTTTCTTTTCTTTTCTTTCGTCTTTTCGAGACAGGGTCTCTGCCTCTACCTTCCAGGTGCTGGGACTAAAGGTGTGCGCCACCACATCCAGCTTTGCTTTATTTTCAAGAGCAGACAATTAAGGTGCATGTGGTGGTACATGCCTAGAACCCAAACAACTCAGGAGGCTGAGGCAGGAGGATCAAGACCTTGAGGCCAGCCTGGACTACACAGTGAGTTCAAGGCCATCCTGGGCTGCATAGTGAGACCCTGTCTCAAAAAAAAGATAAAACAAAATTTTAAAAAAAGCAAACACTAGACAACTATATTCTTAAATCTAGAGAATAATTTCCTAGACAAAAACCAGCTAAGACCTTAGGTACAGTCCAATGCTCTAGACTATCATGTGTGCCTTTCAGGTCAAGGTCATATGATAGGAGGCTCAACCCACTGTCAACTAACAGCTCAGATGCATCACATATCAACATTTAATATCTTTGCATCCCTACCTCATTGGAAAATAAGGGTCAACTTCTAACTTTGCTATTTTTGATTACTACATTAATCCCATAGAGGATTATCCTGTGAAGGAAACACATTACCTCCGAGCTGTTTGATGTTTTTAAACCATTCCATTACATAACTTGTAGGTCAAGTAAACAGACCTCACCCTTTACCTGTTACCCAGCACATGTATGAAGGACTCTGGTCCTTTAGCCATAGAAAAGCCAAGAAATGTATTTCCTTAACTGAATAGCTAGCTCCTGTTGAAAGATTCTGCAATATTACTTCAAACTACACATACCAACACCGTCAGCTTGTCAGAGGCAGGCCAAGGCTGGGGTTATTTAGTATCTTTTTACATATGGAGAAGTTGAGGCTCAGAGAAGTTGGATGATCGTCCATCACAGAAAGCAGCATATGGCAGAACCAAGATGAGGTGGACTTTGGTTTGTCTGGGGAACTGCAGAAGGCAGACCACCAGGTGTGCAGGGACCCAAGTCCTGCTCCCATCCAGCTGAGGTTAAATTATAAATACGAATCCAGCCACCCCCAGGTACAATACAGGAAACAAAGCCAACAGAAATGGAACCAGCAAGAGGTCAAAGGCTGGCTTGCCTGACTTCCAGACATACGTACCTGGAGCCAGTAGGTGAGCTGGCACTGTGGCTCATGGGGATCATGCCGGTATGGGCCGGCACTCCGAGACTGGACCAGTTGTCATGGGGCTGCAGCATGGATAAGCATGCTGACGAATTGTCAGTGTAGGCTGAGGAGCACAGGAGAGGGAATTACTAGATGGGTCTTTGGAGAACAGTAAACTGCTGACCAGTGTTAGCAGCGGCTGGACTAACCAGCACTGAAAACAAGTGCTGTGATATAGACACAGAAAAGATGCTCCTGGTCATCACGGCAAATATTTTTACCAAAGTTAATTATTTGAAAATATATTGCTGGGGCTAGAGACCTAGCTCAGCTGTTAAGAGACCTGACTGCTCTTGCAGAGGATCTGGGTTCAATCCCAGGGTCACATGGCACACGGCAGCTAACAACCATCCATAACTCCAGCTCCAGGGGATCTGACACCCTCTTCTGGCCTCTATGGGCACTGCATGACATGGATGCACTTACGTACATGCAGGCAAAACACTCATAACTCATAAAACAAAAACAAATAATTTTAAAAAGAAAATATCATCCTTTTAATCTAACTTTCTTCTTTATCATCCCATCAGGAAATGCCCCACGGAAACGGAACCCTACATTTCATAAGGATTGCTTTATCTTTATTTTTCTTCTTTTTTTTTTTTTTATTTATTTTGTAGTGTCAAGGATCAGGCTCAGCCCCTCCCCCAAATGGTAAGCAAGTACTCAGCCCTGAGCTACACCCTAGCCTATGATTGCTCATCTTTAAAACTTAAATTGTCTGCTACTTTTAGTTAGCCTGCCTTTTCCCAAAGGGATATTCCATATGGGTTGAATGGGCTTTTGGAAACCATGACTCCAGGCAAATTAAAAATATGATCTTCCCGCCTTAGAGTCTAGCCCCAGGACTGTTTCCTTTCATTTCAAATCAGCTGTAATTGCTTAATTGTTTTATGGTGCTCTTTGGTCATTTTCCTCCTTTGGGGCAGACAAAAGTCATCCTGAACAGACAGTGTTAGAGGACCTGCTGGGGGTCTTCACAGGCTGCCCTGGGGCTCAGATTGGGGAAGCTGGTCAGGCTGTCTGGAGAGCCACCCACCCCATCTTCTGGTGGGTCTGGGAAGGGACCCGAGATATAGCCAGTTCTCAGGCGATGCTGATGCTGAGGGTCTGTGGGTACCATCCTCCCTGATCTAGTCAGGAATATTTGTCCCTGGCTGATCCGGTATGGTCACTTTAGATTGGTTCGTGAAACATTTAAATCAGGGCTTCACCCTGAGGATTCACCCAAGGAGAGGCCCAGAAAGTTATCCTCTTAAAAACCTGGAGCATACTCTGAGGCACATGGACACAACAAGTCCCCACAAGAGCCTCTGGGTAAGCTACTGTCACGTGAAGACATGCGTCTTCTCGTGAAGAATATGCAGTTCTCCTCAGGAGCCTCTAAAAGCTGGGTTTGGGTTCCCCGTTCTACACCTCCGTAGAACGTCTCTCCAGAAGGGGCCTCCCACCACCCAGTAGTCCCTAATGAACTGAGACATAGGACCTACTTGGAGAATTGTTCCGATGACCGTACGGGCTGGGGTAGGGCGATGAGCGGTGGTTCCTCAGGGCCGGGTACCTCTCACAGCCATGTGTGGAGGGGAGGGAGAGAGTGCCTCCGAACTGAGGGTGGGAGCTGGCAGGTGGGCAGAGGGTGCTGGTGCCCGGAATAAGCCACCCCCCTGCTGTGAGAAAAGCATGCAGAGTTAACGGACACTTGTACTGGCTCTGCTGCGAAGGGAGAGATCAGAGACCCAAGACTGTCCTGACATTAACCCTTAGGAGTCTCTGGGGAAAGAACCCCAGTATCCCACATTAGTGCAACCTAAGTTCAGTGTCACAGTGAGGAGCCTGGCAAGGGAAATGTAGCATCTGAATGACCTAAAGAGACAGCCCCACTCCTATAGGATTGCACTGGAGCTGTGGCCCTCAGCCCTTGTGGAATGTCCATAACTGGGCAGGAATGCAATATGGAAGTCAGCTTGGAATCAGAGGAGTGGCAGGGAGCCAGAGGCAAGACCCAGGCTGTCTGGGATGAAGACGAAGACTCCTCCTCCTCCTCCTCCTCCTCCTCCTCCAACTACAGAGGCCAGCCATCAAGTTCCTGCCTCAGGGGCCAAGCCCCGGGCTGGATCCATTTCCTACTTTCTTCCTTCTGTGGTACACACATACACACACACACACACACACACACACACACACACACACACACCACAGTCCACTTGCCCAGCACTCTTCCACTGCATCTTGGTCTGTACTCAAATGACTCCCCATGAGCCACTGTGGGAGATCTGTTTGTTAAATTCCCTGTCAAATTAGCCTAGAAGATAGTGTTAAAATGCTGGTTTTAGAACATCAACTCCTAGTCTGGGACAGACTCCTGGCTGCTCCTGCAGCCTTTGAACTAGCCTTCAAGCAGGACTCTTCTAGGCCTCAGCAGTGACTTTCTCAGCATCACCAGGTCCCTCCCTGGGGGCAGAGTCAGACCAGGACTTTTCTCTGCATAGATGTAGCTGTAGAGATCTGCACTTCTCGCTCAGACTGAGGAATCCTACAGCAGAACTAGCCATCTTACAAGAGAGTTTCCACCAAAATCAGGGCTGATTATCCAGTCCCAGAACCAAGAGGACTGCGTGGAAAAGTTGTTCATAAGCATCTGCAAAGATGGTTCTTTTTTCTTCAGTCACTAAGAAAAGTAGAAACCATCTCCAACAGGATATGGTGAGCTGGACCCTCAACACACCCAAATCTAAACTCCCAGGAGCCAAACCCATCCCAGACCAACTGCAGCCACAGCAGAACAACCCAGAGTTCTTTGGCCTGGGTTGACTGACCATAGCCCCAGTGTAACATGGGAAAGGGGTGCTCCAGCTACCATACCACACCCAGAAACCTTCCGAAGCCCTTCTGAGTTCTGGTTTCTGCAAGTCCAAACCCGAAACAAGCCACAAGGAGGGTGCAGAGGGTTCGGGGTACAACAAACCGTACATTGGGAGTACCCCGGCTGATGGCCATCCCCAGGCTCCTCCGTCAGATCTTTGTGATCGCTTCTGCCAAAAAGAGTTTGGAGGGATCAGAAGGGAGACCTGCCCCCGACAGTATGCCCAGTATGAGTCATAGTTCTACACAGTCCTCCGCCCTAGGAGTGGGTTAGAATCCTCTCACCTTTCCTTTGCATCAAGGAAAGCTTTTGCAAATGGATTGTATTTAATTTTAAGAGCTGTGATCTGAAAGACAAAGAAAGTGTATTTACTGGTGTACCACTCATAAACCAAAAGGTCTCACACTAGATACTGAAAAATGCCATAGGCCTGTAAGCCCAGTGCTGGAGAGGCTGAGGCAGGGTGACTGTGAAAAGTTTGAGCAGCCAGGGCTACATAGCAAAACCCTTTGTCTCAAAAGGCAAGAAAAGAAATGAAAAAAAGACAGACAAGAAGACAGACAGACAAGAAGACAGACAGACAAAAGCTAAAATAGTCAAGTTGAATCAGACTCCTTCCCAGACATCTTTCTATCTGGGTTTGAAGTTGCCAAGAAATTGCTTTTCTTTGGAATTTCTGAATGGAATTCATAATAAATTTAGCTCACATCCCATGCATATAAATCCAACAGCTCAGACATAGCCAAAGGCTTCGGAGCAAACAGGGCTCTACTGTGGTTTTCTAGTGCTCAATACCACCCATCCTCACCCACAGCCTCACAGATTCATCATGAATTTTCTAGGTTTGGGGGTTAGACTTAAGCCTTAGATTGGCAGGCACCTCACCAGCATCTCCAAACATCTTCACACTGAGGAGAAGGGGTTGTCACTCACCCTTTCCAGAAGATCCTCACGAAGTTGTAGATCCCAAGCTAAGCTCTATGCATCTTTCCATTTCAACCATGTTTGTTAAATGTTTCTTGTTTTAGATAATTGGGAGGGGTGGTGAATAGGAAAATTCTTGAATAAGGATTAAACTTTTCTCCTCCTTGCTGTGGAAGGGGCAACTCTGGACTGGCATTGGGCATTGGTTTCAGCCGATGTTGTGCATGCTGTCAGGGCTCCCTCCCTCCCACAACCTCACCTCCTCATTCTGGTAGGCAGTTACAGCTATGAACTGGGTCTCAGGAAAGCAGTGGCTGGTGATCATTCTCTGTGGCCCCCCAACTCGCACGATGTGAATCCTAGGCTCGTACTTGTGCAAGGAGTTCAGCATGATCTGGGGAAGATAATGGAGCAGTGACTGAGACCCAGCCCTACCCTAAAACAACCAAACATGCATCACAACTGCTCAGTGAGAAAGAGATCAGGCTACAATCCTTTGACTCCAGGGAAAGTGTCAGTGGTGTGGGGTACACAGTGATGTTTCTCAATATCTCAAACATCTTCCCACAGCTGGTCCAGAACTGGGATGTGAGATGTTATGCACCATTAAAACCCTTTGCCCTGTCAGAATAATGCACTAGGGCATCTGGACAGACACAAGCATCTTTAAAAGCCTTGCTCATTTGTAACTTGTAGTGACTGAGTTTCCCAGGAACAGTCCCAAAATTGCTTTTGGGAAAGATGTTTCAGATTTCTTACAGCATTGCTGTTGTGGGCCGTGTTGGCTTGAATGTGACTATTCACCATCAAAGCCACCCTCCACCACACACACCCCAAGAATGGCTAGGGCTATAACAGTTTCCCAAGGCGAATCCAGCACGGAGCCTTCCACGAGGAGGGAATCCCTGCTTCAGGCCTTGGTGTGATCCTTATCTGCTTAATATAAACAGCACTAACGATTTAATGGAGGAAGACTGTCAGCTTCTGCGGAGGGCAGAGGTCCTCTTCTCTCCCAGCAGAGCGGGTCTAGACTCCAGCTCCAGATGCAGCCCTCAACCCCTCCGCCCTGGGCTCCAGTGGTTCGGCTCCAGCACACCCACCTGCCCCCCTCCGTTGAGCTTGTTGGTGAGCTTGACTTTGCTGAAGGACACTGGCGCCTTCATCCAGTGGGCTCCGAAGTTGGGCGAGTCCGGGTGGATGTAGACACAGCTGGGCGCCTGCGGCTCCGGCTTGCCCCCGGGGACCCACTCCCCATTCACGTACTTCCAGCGGTGGTTGTCCGCCGCCACGAAGTCCAGCAGGAACGAGTACATGGCGTTGGGGTCCAGCCCCGACACGTTCACCTTCAGCACCGGGAACATCCTCCTGGAAAAGCCAGGGCGCGGCAGGAGAACCCCGGAACCGACCGCCACCCTGGGCCGGAAAAGCCTGGCACAGAATGTTTGTTAACCGGCCAAAGAGGTGACCCTGGGGAACTCCCAAGGGCTAGCCCAAGCTTCTTTGCCCTAACGGTACACACACACACATACACACACACACGCGCACACACACTCACACACACACACACTCACACACACACAGTGCCCACCGCTCTGGAGGCAGCAGGGAGAATCTGGCCGAGGCTTTCCGCGCCGCGGGCCAAACCTGGCCACACCGAGGTAGACCTAGGCGCACTTCGCCTTCGAGGCGGGAGCCCTGGGGTTCGAGTACCTCCTCCCCAAGTTCCACAGAGAAAGTCCCAGAGAAGTGAGGGTTAGGAATCCCCTAGGGGCGGTTAACAGCAGCGGAAAGAAAGTCTGCCTTACACCTTACCGAGGCGCCCCACCATAGGCCCCCCAGGCCCCAGGCTGCCCCGCTAGCGGTGCGCACCTACCTGCCATTCTTGGTCACGATCATCTCGTTGGTGAGCTCCTTGAAGCGCAGCCACAACTCGCTCTCCTCCAGGCCCACGCGCAGCTCGCGCTCCGTGGGGTCGCCCTTCTCGCTACCCGCCTGCAGCTCGCTCTCCACGGCGCTGAGCAGGTGGTCCACTCGGCACTGCAGGCTCTTCCCTGCGCTCTCGGTGCCCGGGGAGCTCATCCTCCTGCTGCTCTCCCCACCGCCCCGAAGGCTTGAGTCAATTCCCAAGAGCCACCTTCGCTCCTCCGGTCGCCGCTTTTCCGGGTAAGAAAAAAAAAAGTGGAGGGTCGCTAGACCCGGCCCAGAGACCACGCCTGGGATCCCAGCACAGACGCCAGAGGCGGACCAGGCCCGAGATGTGGGGGGAAGGGGGTGGGGAGT